TATATATATATATATATATAGAGAGAGAGAGAGAGAGAGAGAGAGAGAGAGAGAAAGAAAGAAAACTGTTTCATCATCAATCTCATTGTATGTTTATGTTATATAATATCTTTTTATAGATTTTATAACTTATAATTTTTATAATTTAAATTGCTTATAAATTTAATAAATAAATTTCAATCGACATTTTTGTACAGCAATTATTTATATTATGTTTATTAAGAATCAATTTTTCTAAATCTGTCGAATATATTAATATTCTATATATATACATATACATATACATATATAGTAGATTTTGAAACTTCTAAGTTTGAAACTCTAATAATTTAAAATTCAAATAAAAAATTTAAAAAAAATCTAATTTTGAATTTTGCACAAAAATTCGGAAGTCGAATAAATCTATTTAACAAGAATATAATGAAATATTTTAAAAAAATTTTTAAAAAATAGACAAAAAAAAATAATATTGAGTAGATATATAATAATTTGTGCAAGAAAAATTATTGTGCTAAATAATATTAATTACAATTCCCAAGTGATGAATTATAGATAAAAATGATTATTTAATTGATTATTATAAAATATTTTTATATATATGTAAATAATAATTATTATTATAATATATATTATAATAATATTATTATAATTTATATTATTATAAATAAAAAGATTCGATTATTGTTGTTTTGTCAATATGTTCTTTTGAAATGGATATTTAAAATGTTATATATTTGTAAATTTTAGAGATGTGAAAAAAATTAATTTAATTTACATTATTTCATATAAAGAAATTGAACTTGAATAACTTAAATCAACTTTTGATTATTGAATTGCATTCAAAGTTTGAGAATCTACTATATTTTAATTTAGACTTACTGAGGCATAGTAGTTATTTGTCCAACACCAGCATGATGCCACACAGAATGTGCCAAAGCTAACATATAACTGTATTTATTTTCCAATAAACTATTATGTGTGTTATTAAAATTAAACATTTGAAATGGAGTTAAATTATTATATTGCCAATTAGCTAATCCTGGACTGCTAATAGTTTCTACTAATCGATCATGAAGTGCTGACCAATAACATTCTGGTAAAGCAGCCAATAGTAAACCAACACAATTTATCCACAAATGAATTTCATCTGATGGTATCACTGTATACCTAATAGTATAAGTATAAAATTAAAAAAAAACTTAAGTACAAAATAAAATTTTAATCTTACCCTTTTGCAACTACATCTAATAATGAGTTAGCAACTATATTTGGGGCAACAGGAACAGCCATAAGTTCAACACATGTAACATATAATGCATGTGCAGCAGGATTGGGAAATTCATTAAATCTCCAGTCGGTAGCAGGAAAATGTGCTGTACCTGACATTGCTGAAAAACTAATTATTTTTAAAAAATTATAATTTAAAAAATATTGATTGATAAAAATTATTTACTTTCTACAATTCTTCGCACTAAACGAATATAATAATCCAATTCAGGCATCCATGAAACAACATCATCAGAAGATCGAGTCATATACATTTGATAAGCTTCTGAAAGTGCCCATCCTGGTGCTCTAATTTCTCTCAAAGAACCCAAAACAGCTGATACTAAACGTCGTTTTAAAGGTGGCCTATCTCTTAATTTACGTTCATAATAATGTAATGTATTATAAAGATATGTAACAGGTCGATCTAAAAAATAAAACAAAATATAATAAGTCAAATTTATTAAATATAAAATTAACATAAAAGTATTCTATTATCATATTCAATAAAAAATATATACAAACCATGAAATTTATATAAACATCCTAAATGTTCTAGAAGTGTTTCTAAACTTTTTGATACAGCTGGAATTTCCAAATATCTATGTACAACGATATCAAAAACAGGTAAAAATCGTAAGCATACATTTCCGAAATAAACAGGTAAACTTTGATATTGACTAGGTCCTCCACTAGTTTGTTCCATAATACCTTCTGGAGCAAATTTTTCTGGAAACTTTCTATGAAATGCAAGATGTTTTTCATGCCAGTTTGATTGTTTCCAATGTTCTGGAGAATTTTCTTTTACAAATTCTTGAGCTCTATTTCTAAATTCAATGGCTTTCAATAACAATAATTGGATTATAAAAAAACATACTTGAGCATCACTACCTTCATGAGTTCTTAACACTAAACAAAGAATTAATCTATCAATAGTTACAATGTTATATTTCCATATCATATCGTTAACTGTATCAACACATTTATTTACGTGTTGTCCACCTACGCTATTAGCAAATTCAAACACAAGATAATCACAGAATTTTCGAAGATGAGCCGATAAAGCTCGAGCTCCAATTCTTTCTAAGATTTTATATGCAATTGGACTAATTCGATCAGTTTCAAAAATTATCTTCCACAAAAGACACAAAAATAGAGGTGGTGTACCTGGGACAGAAAAATGTGCTATTATGTCATTTTCATTACTCATAGAAGCCCAATTTCGATATTCTTCCTCTACTGCTTTCTTAATTTGTTGCTTATTTTCTTTTGGTACACTGTTTTGTTGGAAGAATTCACTTAATACTGGAGGGAAACATTGAAGAGTGTGATTAGCCCACGAATGTGGAGTATTTAGCATGATTGTGTTTAATAATTCTTTACACCATGTACCACTATGACTATCTGATCCTGTTCCTGTAACATGCATAGAGCGTGCTAATGTTAATACTAAAGCTCTGTTTAATTCCTCAGATTCTGCTGATACAAGAGTTTTAGGTTCTGATAAAAATCGAGATAATTGAGGTTGCACTTCAGCAGATCCTAATCCAGTGATTAAACGAAGAGCAGTACTTTCTACACATAAATGAAGTTGTGTTTGATTTGTCTGTGGCACAGCTGCAAGACTATGTAAGTGAGATAAAAGTTGTACTCTGTAATGCGGTTGTATATGATGCATTCTGTAACTAAACATTTCTAATAATGTATACAATGTTCCCCATGCATGAGATTTGAAAACTGTTGGAAGTAATTGACTGATGAAACCTTTGATGCCCAAACTTTCAATTTCAGTGTATACAAGTAATCTACTATAAGTTTCAACTAGTGCTGGTGCTAATGCCATATTGCTTTTAGATTGTGCTGATTTTATAACATGAGTAACAATACTATGTATTAGACTCATTTTCGAATGAACAGTTAATGAATCCAATATTGACATTGATAATGGTGTGGTTGGTCCACTTGCAAGAGCTGCATTATTTTGTAATGTTTGCATTGGCTGTTGTTGTTGACCTTTTTGAGTACCAAGTATAGTATCTACTAAAGCAGCCATTGGCCTGCCAAAATAATCTTGATTTGTAGAATATGCATTACATAACAAAGCAATGCGATAATCTGAACCCATACATAAAGATGTATTAGGCATAACTAAATGTTGCAAAAATTCATGATGAAGTTTCAAAGTGTGTGGTATTGGTCTATGAATGTTTGAATGTTCGGATTGAGCTTTTTTTAATAGATGTATCCATATACATGTAATAGCCATTTGATGAGTGCATAATGCCTGAGTATAATCCGGAACTGGTAAAGGTTCTTTTTCTGGATAAAGAAGATCGTATAGTTTTAATACTGGCAAAAAATTTGATAAAGGGTTTCTTTGAATACTTCCAGAAATGAATTGCAACAAAACCCACATTAAGTGATCTCTTCCCTTTCTTAGATCTCTTCCTGCTAATTTATCGTGTATTGCCATTACGATACTCGGAAAACAGGCATACGAAAAAAGTACAAAATATATGAGTTGTGATGAAAGATGCAACCATACATAATGATTTGCAACAGTTCCATCAGTTCCTTCTGCTGGTAATGTTTCATTTTCTGCACGTTCCATAGCAAGAATAACAAGTTCAACTAATTGTTCTTCTAAAGCTATACAACGTTGTTTTTGCTAAAGTAGAAACAATATAAAATTATTATTTAAATTATCATTATCATTCTTCTTATAAATATAATACAAAATATACCTGTTTTTGTAAGCCAAGCATTGAACATACCATATCTCTGCTATATGGTTGTTCTAACACATATCTAAGCAATCCTGTTTGAGGTTTAAGTAAATCTTCATCATAAGGCAAATTTCCTTTTAATGAAAATTTTAATGTTGTAGTATCAAGTACCCAAGGATTAATCAAATCTGCATATCCAGTATGTTCTACTACTGGTAACATTTTTGAATGTCCAACTATAGATACCATTTGTGCAGTATTACGAAAACTTTCGACAAAATTTGAAAGCAATTTTGCTAGCTTCTATAAGAAATTTACATAAAATTTTATTACATAATAAAATAATTTTTATTTTTTAAATAACATACCCAATGTGGCCAATTTTTACCATCAGGATAAGCCTTTTGAATTTCAGTTACAATAAAATAGCCTGGTAATAAACAAGCATTTCTATCAAAAATGTATTCAAGTACATTCTCTAAAGCTTTTAATTGAGGTTGAATAGATGCATCTAATCTTGCTGGAATTGTTTGTGCTTTTTCTTTGCATCCCTTTAAGATAACAAATTATAATTAATTTCAAATTTATATAAAATTTGCTGATATTTACCTTCATTATTTCTCTGACACCTTTATAATCAACTCCTCCAATAATATGTCGAATAAGAACAAAACATTCAATCCAAAAATCTTCTAATTGATATTGAAGTTTATCACAATTTAATATACATTCACATACAAGTCTAAAATAATACATATTTAACATATAAAATTTTATGAATGAATTTTATTTTCAAATTTAAATATACCTTGCTGCTAGAATATTTGATGTAACTAAGTTTTCAAGTAATGACAATAATAATTGTAATCTTTTATGATTAGTCATTGCTGCTGCCATAGTTAAAAATTGTCTTACTGCATTTTCTTGTTGTTCTTTGGACAAATTTGACATAGTAGATGATAATTCTGTTTGCCATGCTGTTATTTTTTCATTTTCAATATTTGGATGATGCACCAAAACACAACTAAAAGCTTCTTCTATAGCTTCTACTTTCTATAATAATTTTTAATAATTTTATAATAATTTTACAAAATTTTACAAATTTTAAAAATAAAATATTTTATTTATTATTATTTTAAGATATGATAATGATATATTTTGGAAGAATAAAATAATTAAATAAATAATAATTGTTATTTTTGTTAATATCATTATATCATTATATATTATCATAATTCTAATAAACCATAATTATAATTATAAATTTTTTAATATTATTTTTTAATATATTATATAAACCTAACTATATTATATTATATAAACCTAACTTAATCATTCAGAAATAAATATTTCAATAATTATATGTATTAATTACATTTGTAAGTCTACATATAAAAGCTTTGATCTTAATTTCAATCATTTTTAAAAGATAAGATTAAAATTAAGTATTGTAAAATAATAATTATAAATAATAAAATACAAACGAAAATAAAATAGATTAAAATATTAATATAAAAATATAATATAAAAATAAATACTTACTAAAATATCATTTACGATGCTTGTAATTTGAATTTCACTAGTCATTTTTTTTGTTAATAAATTTTATATTCTAATGAAAAAAGTTATAAAATATAAAGTTTAATTAAAGTTATATTAATTTTTTCCATACTTTTTTGCAAGATTTATATTTATTTAATATATAATGAAAATCAATCTTTAACACAATTCATATTCTTAATTTTTTGTTTATGTTTGCATAACCACGGATAAGATCTTGTTCCATATCTTGTCTGTCTTATGTTAAATGTACATTTTAACATAACCTATATTATATATAATAAAAAAAAGTGTGATTATTAGTACATAGCACATAAGCGAGATGTCACTGTAATAGAATAAAATAGAAAAATGAAATTGTTGATAATTTGCGGCGAATATTTTGTTTAAATTTTTCGTGCATAGTGTTTATGAAAAACATGTGAAAAAATATAAACTATAAATAACTTACAAAAATACTTTTAAGTTTTCAATATTGATATAATGGCTACTTTTTTTTTTATCTGAAACAAACCTTAAAATAATTATTAAAAAAAAAAAAAAAATATATGTCTTATTGTGATAATTATATTCCAAATATATATTTTCAAATATATAACCTATATATATTTGGAAGTGATATAAAAATATGTTTTCATCAAAAAATGTGAAATCAACATTACTCTGTGGACCTCAGGAATTAAATAAATCTTTTATGTTTGAGGTAAATGAAAATGTGAAGCAAAAAATGTAAACATTATAATTTTTTATAAGAAATAATTAAAATTTAAAAATTCAACAATTTGAAAAAAATAATGGAATTAGCATTGCATAAATATGAAATAAATTTTTTTATTCTTTAAATATAAAATATTGATTAACTTTATACAGAATATTTAGAGAATTTAATAATTAAATTTTTTTTAAATTTTTAATTAAATTTTTTTTATATTAATTCTAAATTATATAATATATATAATTTATAAAAAAATATTATAATATCGATATATTATCATCAATATCAAGATACAATAATATTTCATGCAATTTGTTTTTTAATTTTTTTAAATGTTATAAATATTTTATTAAAAATGTATTTTTAAAGAATTTTAAGAATATATTTATTGTATTGGTCAACATTAATGGCTAGCATTGATTTTGATAGAAATATTATATTTTCGAAATCTCATTTTTCTTTGTAGACAGCAATTTACTGGGCCGAGGAAGGACGTCGCGTCGTTTACATTACACCAACACCATTGGAGAGATTACCGGCAACTTGTCATGATAGATGTAATCCAGCACCCGCGGCTTTCAAGCTCATGAGATTTATGTAAGCGGAATACTTTTCTTATAGCGCTTCTACATTTATTGATCTTGGAATTTGTTATTAAAAAGAATATTTATATTTAATTTAATTTTTATTTAATTAAATTAAATCGCTTATTTTTAAATTAGTTGCTTATTTTTAAATTTCAATAGAGAATTTATAATTTTTTTACTTTTTTGAAAAGATAATCATCATTTACAATATTATTTTATTTTTTGAAGACTGTTAATAATTATTTTAAAGTAAAAATTAAAATTAAATTTATTTTATGTATACTAATTGATCAATGTAAATAGTTATTGTCAAGTGCAATATTATTGCATTATACAATAATAATATATAAAACGATTTTGAATTCAAGTATTTGATTTGATACTGGATACTGGAATTGATCAATGAACATTATTTATTTTACACATAATTATATGCAACAAATATTGAAATTTTTTTACATGCATAAATATATGTGTTTATAAATTCATAATATAATAATAATATTTTCAGAAAAAACGAGAGATATGTAGATCATTCTGTATAATGTTACTCATTCTTGGTATAGTAAATCACAATGAAGTATATATTACAGCACAATAC